GTCTCTGTTCTGGGTGGTGGGAAAATGCGTGAGATGGACCGAGAAATGGTGGGAAAAACTGAGAGGAACACGCGTGCGGGAGATTCTCTCACCAGTGAGCAGGAGAGGATCCGGAAGCCTCACGCCTTAGTTGCTTAAGTGTAAGGCGGTAGTCAGTCGCCACGCCTCAGCTTACCGCTTTGATAACCATGCGGTGCGACATTATATTTCTGCTGGCATTATAATTTGCAGCACGAAGTTATCAACTATTGAAAGCTAATCTAACCCTGCCATGAGGCTAAATATCAGAAATGTATTACTTTCTGAGATGAGCCCACAAACTGAATCATTTTTGCTCGATATATTCCCTATTTGGCCTCTTACCAAGTTACTGAAATAAGTTTGGTTCACTACCACATTTTGCCAGAACAAAGTTAAGCATGTTGGACCAAGCGCTAGCATTTGGTTCATGACTGCTGCTGTGGCTTGCTAGCCCCTGTCCCAGTTGTCGGTCTCGTGTTCTATTTTGGAATACTTGTGTTGCAAGAAGAGAGGGAAAGTGTGCTAGTCTTGATTTCACATGATAAAATATTTCCTCTAGCATAGTCTATTTTAGTGATTCAATAGAAACAGTAAATATGATCGTTGGACCTTTTTTTCTATAACTCATTTTATAATTGTTTCCCTTCTGTAATTCATTAATAACGATGAATTTTGAGAATTGCTCTTTTCTTCTCACTTCCCTCGTTTTAATTCTGTTAATAGTAATGTTGCTAAAATTGTTCAGTCTATTGCCACCATATGCCTAACCTTGGAGTTACCATTATTTACAGCTACAACTCAAGTGAAGTGAACAATGGTGCTGATAAGTTGGCAGAGCAGCGCACGCAACTTCTAGAATCTAGAAGGTAAGTTGATTTTGTCTGTTGTGTTTTGTGGAACTACTTGTTCTATATAGATTTGTTAGCTCTGTATTCAGGTTTTAATTTGGAGACCCATATACCTTCTTGATTGTATAACGTTGCTTGGACAATACATATCACCCTTTGTTTGCATGTCAAGAACGAGGCATTTTCCCTCCTTGCACAGGTCATTTTTCTGAATATCTCTAGGTTCTAATTTCAAACTTTTGATTTACCATAGGCAGGAGTTGGTCTTCTTGGATAATGAAATCGTGTTCAATGAGGCCATCATTGAGGAGAGGGATCAAGGAATACAAGAGATTCAGCACCAAATCACTGAAGTAAACGAAATCTTCAAAGATCTTGCTGTGCTAGTCCATGATCAAGGAGCAATGATAGGTATGTGACCTTTCTGGCAAATTGGATCTACATTTCGATACGCTCAAGCATAGGGCTGCCTATTTCCCCATCTAACTGTGTTTCTCCTTTTGTGAACCAGATGACATTGACTCCCATATAGAGAATGCCGTCGTCGCGACTTCGCAGGCTAAAGGCCAGCTTTCAAAAGCTGCTAAAACTCAGAAGTCAAACTCTTCGCTGGTAGTTTCACGAGCTCTTTTACAATTCGTTAATTAATATCCTAGATCCATTTTTAGGAACGTCATCCTCCATCATGCATCATTCCTGTTCAGGTTTAGTGACCAAATGTTCTTGCTGCAGATATGCTTGTTGCTGGTTATTTTCGGAGTGGTCCTGCTCATAGTGATAATAGTACTTGCAGCCTAAAAGCTTGGAAGGCAGCTGAGGTTCCGAAATCTGATCGAGCTTATCGTGACAAATTCCTTCATAAGTTATTTTTGCTGTGCAGCCAGGAATGAATCCTGGTATCCGCCTGGAGGTATCCAGGCGGTGATTGGCGCTCTGCCTGTGGTATGGTGGTGTGTATGTGGTGATGATGTATCTGGAATGCATGGGTGGTTCACATAAAAGTATTACTCTTTCCTGCCAGTGTAGTGCCTCTTTGTTTATATATTTAGCCTGTTCGCTGGTTGGTTTCTGGGCTGATAAGCCCGGCTGGTGCTGGTTTGTTGTGAGAGGAAAATATTGTACCATGGTTGATAAGCCTTGGCTGAAATCAACAAGCGAACAGGCTGAGTAATGTATGAGTGCGTGCTGTAGAACAAGGTTGGATTATCTGTGGTATGAAGTTTCTCGATTCCATCAGAAACACTTTGCTATATGTCAACTTCTTTTTCCTTTTTCCTCTCGGGCTACATGATATTAGTTGGTATTGGTATCCACCAGGTCCATCATTGTTATCTGCTCGCTTATTATGTGGTTTCATAGTTTTCTGCTTACAGAATGTATAAGTTGGTTCATGAGAGGATAAAATGGTGTTACTATAATCTAATGTATTTATAATTATCTAAGAGGGAAACATGAACTATTAAATCCTACTATGATTGCTGGGAAAACTAGCAGTCCGTGAGCGTTGCAACGGGAGAATCATGGTACAAGAAGGTATTAGCAAGTTTGGATTGCATTGGCCGTTCTGGTAACCTGTTTGCAGAAAGTTTGGATTGGTTGGCCGGTCTGGTAACCTGTTTGCTGTTGTGGTGTGGTGGACATGGTGAAAATCACCGTGGGCGGCTGGGCGCAGAACTGACGGGCGTCGGATATGATTTGACGAAGAGCATAAGAGCCGGTAAGGTGAGCGTGGCAAAGCCACCGTGGGCGGGTGTCGGATTTGGTTAGGTTTGATCAGGACGAAGAACATATAAGTCTCGAGATCTCGCTTGCTTGATGGTTCACCAAGAGGGTCAAGCTCACCCTTGTCCAAGCCCGTCTACGACCACCAAGACATATTCATATTATTAAGATTTGTATACCATACCATAGAGTGTTGCTGCCACGAGACAACCAATATATTCAAAGGCTTATGTACTATGAGCCTGTTCACTGGTTGGTTTCTGGGCTGATAAGCTCAGTTGATGCTGGTTTGTTGTGAGAGAAAAATACTATTGGCTGACTGATAAGCCCTGACTCAAACCAACGAGCGAACAGACTGCATATCATAGAGCGTATATATAGTTGCGCATTTAGGCATTTAGGCCTAGACAGGAGTAGTTACAATGGCGCTATCTTATTTGATAGTTAGGACCAGTTTGGCAGGGCTTCGGTTCTTTATAAAAGGGTTTCGTAACACAAACCAGCGGTGAAAATGGGTCGGCTATCATGTTCCGAACCGGCGGTGATAATCGCCCAAATCGACAATTTCCCAAGGAAAGTTGGCTATCCCAATCTTGAAGGTTGGCTAAGCCTACCTTTTCAGCCTCAGCCCACTACTTCGATAACAAAGAATCATAACTCTTAGCTCCGAACTTTGATTTTGATGATCTTGGATATTTTAGAAAGCTATTGAAGATATCTACACCTTTGAACTGATGTCATATCAATTTGAGCAAATCCAAAATCATGAGAGAAGACCAATTCATTCATCTCTTTATCTCGGCTTCAATTTCGTTTGTGTCTTCGCATCCGGGCTTCTACTTCTGGTGTCTTAAACTTCTAGAATGTTTTGCAGGTCTTTAACATGGCTTATAATGTCTTGCTTGAGGTGTTGATCACTTCAATTTTCATTTTGCCTAAGTCCAAGCCAACCTTGCATACATTTGAACTAAACCTTTGAGTCTGTTTACTACACAACCATGTGTTTTATATAATTCCAACACATGAATTTTTTTTGCACCATACAGCCTGTTCGTTTGGCCTGTGGCTTATCGTAAACGATCATAAATTTTCAGTCGGAACAGTATTTTTCTCTCACCCAAACCAGCCAGCAGTACTTCTTCACGAACCAGCAACGATACGAACCAGCCAACCGAACAGGCTGAAGATTAAGATCCAACAGTCTCCACCATTCTTCTACCTCCAGCCTTCTTCTACCTTCAGACAATCACGAGATCACAGATCCACAGATCACAGATCATAGGAAACAATTTTTTTCTATGGAAGGACAAACCATAGATCCGCCGTCGCCACCGCCGCAGGTCGCAGTCGCTGTAGGTAGCTGCCGCCGGCGCCCAGGCTGCTCGCCTCCTTTGCCTCGCTCGACGCTCCTCCCAGGCCGCTAGCCGTCTGCTTGCCGGAGCCGCATCCGCTCGCCCGCCGCGTCCACTCGCCGGAGCCGCGCCATGCTCGCCCGCGCTGCGCGTTCGTGTTCCGGTGTGCGCTCGCCCGACGGCCGCCGCGCTCGCCTCGCTCGCTCGCGTGCTGGTGCTGGTTCTCCGCTGCCGCGTGCGCTCGCCATGTGCACGCCGGGCGCGGGCGCGGGCGCCGGTGGTCACCGGTGAGAAAGAGAGGGAGAGAGATAAAAAAATCCATATGTTTTTTTTTGCTAAAACACATGTGTGTTGTATAACATTTCTGTAACCTTTTATACTAGAAAATGTTGTTAATCCAAATGGTCATTTTGTTCATCAAACACCATAATCCAACTTAATGGATCATAGACCCATTTTCCATACAATCTCCCATATTTTGATGATATAATTGATGACAGCACGACCAAAACAAGCAAATAATAGATATCACATATAAAAATTTAAATACAACCTATCTAGTTGTTTGGCAAGAGCAATATCGTATGATGCTAACTAAAATATGCAATATACTACATGTGTATTACTTATTACCATTTGTAATATGTCCCCTTACGTGACATTATGGGTTTAAGCCCCCTAATTCCATAATCCACTTCCTCCCTCTCTGCACTGATTCAAACAATCTTCGGTACCAGTACCACCATTGACCCAATGGAAACAAGTCCAACTACAAGACTGATCAAAATTAGAAAGATGAGTACTCAGTCAAGATCGGTACTTTAGTTTCATATTTTTCACTTATATATAAACATTGATTAAAAGCATTCCAGTTTGGCACACAATAATCGTCGAAATTTATTAAACACATCACACTTTGATTAAACAAAATAATCGTCGAAACTTTGACAGAAGAAAATGCATAGAGATAGTACGAGTTGGAAACAAACAGTAGAAGAACATCGTGCACGTGAGCATGCTTATGCAAAGCTCCGTGCTCTCGCTACGATGGAGAGAGCTAGAGCCCGTTAGGCTTCACATAGTGCTGTAGAACCTCAGCGGCCTTGCCCTGCAGCAGGTCCCACACCTCCATGACGTGCTGCAGCTCCGTCGAGGCACCGCCGACAGCTAGCCGGATCACGAACTTGCCGTCCACCACGAAGTGCGTTATGAACGCCCGCCCGCTCGCGTTCACCGCCGCGAGGAGATCCCGGTTCACGTGGTTCGTGGCGTCGTCGCCGTCGTCGTCGTCCCGGCCGAACCGCGGTGCGAGGCGGAAGCATACCAGGGAGAACCTCCTCGGGACCACCACCTCGAAGCGTTCGTCGGCCGCCACTCTCTGCTCGAACCACTTGGCTGCTGCGACGTGCCGACGGATGTGCGCACGCATGCCAGCCGCACCGTACCGCCGCAGTATGACCCAGAGCTTGATGGCACGGAACCGGCGCGACATGGAGATCTGCCAGTCCTTGTAGTCTATGGCGGCCGGATTTCCTGCGCCGCCGTCGTCCGCGCCGACATTCTTGAGGTACTCCGGGTCGGTGGACAGCGCGGAGGTTAGGTCACGGGGTCTTGCCACCCACAGGCAGCAGCAGTCCATGTTGGTAAGGAACCACTTGTGCGGGTTCATGCTCACCGAGTCGGCGAGCTCCGCGCCGTCGAGGTAGTCCTGGAACTCCGGGCAGATGGCCGCGCTGCCGGCGTACGCTGCGTCGAGGTGCACCCACATGCCATGGCGGCGCGCCTCCTCCCCGAGCTCGCGAACGTGGTCGACGGCGCCGAGCCCCGTCGTGCCCACCGTGGCGCAGAGGTACAGCGGCACCAGCCCGAGGCCGACGTCGCGGTCGACGGCCGCGCGGACGGCTTCCGCGGTGAGGCCGTACCCGGAAGCCGCGGACGTCCTGATGACGCGGAAGTTGGAGGACGGGATCCCGACGAGCCGGGCGCCCTTCTGGAACGTGGCGTGCGTCTGGTCGGAGGCGTAGACCACGAGCCTGGCGATGGCCTCGTGCCCGCCGAGCCTACCCAGCGCGCGGTCCCGCGCGGCGGCGAGCGTGCACGCCACGGCCTCGCACGTGCTCCCCTGCAGCACGCCCCCGCCGCCGCCGGAGAAGAGGAAACAGCGAGGCAGGCTGAACAGCCGCGCCATCCAGTCCACGACGACGCTCTCGGCCTCTCGAGCTCCGCGGCGGCCGGCGACGCGGCCCACACGAAGGGCACGACGTTGAGGCCCACCGACAGCATCTCCCCCGCGAGCCCAGCGGAGCTGGCATTCATTGGGAAGAAGGCGAAGAAGCGGGGGCTCTGCCAGTGGGTGAGCCCCGGCAGGATGTCCCGCCTCACGTCCTCCAGTATGTGCTCCATCGGCTCGCCGTGCTCTGGCGCGGCCTCGGGGAGCAGTTTGCGGACCCGGCCTGGCTCCAGGTCCGCCGCCCTCACCGGGTACTTGTCGACGTCATGGTAGTACTCGGCGAGGAATTCTAGAATGGCCTGCGAGTCGCCGGCGATGGCGTGGGGGTCCAGTGGCTTCATTGGCGCGTCCAGTGGCAAGCTACCCATCGCCGCGACAAGTTAATCTAGCAGGAGCTTCCGGTTCCGGGAGAAGATGTATTCTATGGGCGTGTTTGTGTCGGCTTCAGTTGTGCATGCAGTGGCTTATATATAGTGCGAACACGCAGGCTATACGCGCTAGAACAAACGTTCATGATTTGGCAAGCACACTTCGGCCGTTTGGTAGAGCTCCGGCTCTGGGTAAAACTGTTTTAGTTGTGGCTTTATCTATGGAGCAGATTCGCTTGAGGAGTTGAAGTAATTTTTCTAAACTATTTGGCAAAACAGCTTTATCTGATAGTCCAAAAAGATAAAATATCCATTATACATTTATTTATTTTCTTTTTTTTCTTTTTCTCTCCCTCCAATATGTTCTCTTATCATTATCCCCAATCAGACAGGGCCTGTCTAGAACAAAGGAATAATAGGAAAATGTAGGACCAAAGGGAAGTGAAAAGTGAAAAACTATAGGATTGCAAACCATATAGGAACAAAAATTATGGACAGTTTGGATTGCAGAAAATAAATTTGAATCTTCACATTTTCCAATGAAGTCACGGATTCGTCATCTGTCTGAGGCTTCGAGTTGGAGGGCGGCGAGCGCATCCGCGTGCTCTCGTAGCGATTAGGCCATGGCCGGAGGGAGAAATGTAGTGGCGGAAGAGTCGAAAGAGCAAGCATAGATGCGTTTCCTCCGTTTCCTTGGGTCGGAGTGGATCTTTTAGTTCCCGTGTTTTGTGTATCTATGGATACCTTTCCTATGAAATACAAGGTGACATTCCTTCGTTCCAAAGAGCATGTCTATGTACGGATCGTTCAATCCAAACGCGCCCTCAACCACGACCACAACTTTATTAAAAAGAAAGAAAAAGAAAAGAAACCACGACCGCAAAGGCCTGCAGCCTTCGGCTTCCTCGCATTGCCGTCCCGAAGCCCAACAAGGTCCTCCTCGTCGGCAGGCCGTGCAGCCCGCGCTCCGCCACCGCCCTTCCTCCTCCCCAGTCGCGCGGGCTGCCCTTCTCGCTGGCAAGGCTGCATGGTCCGCGCTCTGCTGTCCGCCACCCTTCCTCCTCCCTAGTCGCACGTCGGGGTCCTCCATGTCAGAGTGCTCGCGTGCCCGAGGCTCCGACGAGCCGCGCCAGGACGCCCTCCCTCCCTCCCCGCGCCGGCGACCGCCTCCGCTCCGCCCTCCTCAACATCTGTGGCCGCTGGTAAAGAAGAAGGGCACCCACCCGCACGCGTCAGCAGGAACCGGGTGAAGGAAGGGTGCTATGAAAGCGTGTTTTCCGTGGATCCTCGCGAGGAGAACTTTGTCGAATGACCGTTTGGCTGGTGGAACAGCAGCTCCTGGAGCTGCACTAGGAGTCGTACCAAACGGGCCCTTCATCTCTGCCGAGGAACCGAGCGGGGAGAAGATCGGACAGGGCCACGAGAGGGGATGGACCCATCGATACCCCGATACGTAGATCTGAAACTGGAACCATTAACGATCCCCCTGTACCTGCAGTTAATGCAGTGGTTAGTCTCCTGCTCATCATCAGTCATCAGGTCTCACGGCGTGCGCAAGCGCAACGGACCAACGGTGCACACCGCACCTCATGCCCTTATGTGATCTCCGACTCCGACGTGTTCCCATGTACTAGTTGTTTTGAGCTGTCACAAGTGTCATCCGTAAATGACTAGAGGAAGACGTACCACGAGATAGGAGGTCTGAAATTATTGTCATTGCAGTCCATCATTCAACTACCCAGTCAGAACGAAAGGAGATCTGAATTAAAAGCTAGTATATGATAAATAACTTTTCTACTTCACCGGCACCGGCATATGGTTGTATAAGTGCTGTTATATTTATTCATTTTTCAATAAACGGTATTATGGCAGTATAAGTGCTTCTTGTAAACTGTTTATTTTTCTTCTGATTCATAACATACACACAGTAGAGGTCTTCCCTCCTACCGGTGTTTCGAGTTGCCACCGGCTAGTAAATTTTTAATATTGCGCCTCTGACCCGAATGGTGTGCTAAGAGGACACGAGATTTAGACTGGTTCAGACAGAATGTCCCTACGTCCAGTTCGTTACTGCTGCTCGTGTTACTAGCACTGAAAATTTGTACTAGGGGTTACAAACGGTCGAGAGGGACAGGTCCCAAATCTCAGGTGAGAGGAGCGAACGAGTGTCGAGGGTTCGGTTGATTCTCGGCTATGTGCTTTGTGTTCTAATTGGTTCGGGGTTCGAGTCCGAATCGGTGTGATGTGTTTCGATCCGATTGATTCGAGTGTCCTGTGGTGTGTTGCGATGAGTTCCGATGTCAATTGTAGGACGCCCTGCTTTTTCTTTTATAGGCCAAGGGAAAGCACGGGTTAACATGGAGGAAGAGAAGAGAACAAGATGAAGAAGTCATTCAGGATCGCCAAGTCCTTCTTCTCCTCTATGCGGGTCCCGTCGATCCTGTAGACGTCAACAGGGACAGCTTCTCGTCGCGGCCCTGTTCATCACTGGCGCCATGTGCAGGCGTCATCTGCCGGTCATGGCGCTCCACTCCGTCCTGGCGGACGTCGTGGTGAATTGACGCGCTCGTCAGTGTTCACACGGGAGTTAGGTAGAACAGCACCGGAACGCCCGACGTTGTTCCTGACGTGAACCCCAGGTATGGCCCGTCGTGGGTCGCGGGCTACATCGAGGCGTGCCAGTCCCTTCCCTGACGTCAGAGCTTTGACCTAGGTCCATACAACCTGAAGTGGTTGGCGACGGTATGGATCTCCGTTAGACTGAGACGGAGCCTCCGGCCTCTTGGGCGAGACGAAGTTCCTCCTATAGACCGGGCGAGGAGGAGCACAGCCCGCACTACGCCAGCCTCCTCCTCCACCACGCGCTGCAGGTACGTACTTTATTTACTGATGACGATGACAGTAATCTTAATTAATCACCGCTGCCATCACTTGCTAATGATGGGATTAGTTACCGCACCGCACGGTCAGCGCCCCCGATTGGCTCAGAACTGACCAGAGCTTTTTGTCGTGCTGCGGAATCTGGCCGGTCGGAGCCGCACGATTTTCATCTTCTTCTCCTGGTTTCACACTCGTGCCGTGTACTGGCTAGCCCTGTGCAGCAGCCGGTCCGGCGCACGTGGCAACTTGTCACCGTGCGTGACGTCGGGTCAAGGGGTGTCTGAACTTTGAACCCTGTGTGCGTGTGCGTGTCTAAAAAACTTGCTGTCCTGTCGGTCCAGAGAGGCTGCCATGTGGGGTCCCACGGATCGAGTTGATTTCGTGGGCAAGAGGAATAATCACAACGTAGCATCATGTTACTGTCAGGGTTAAGTGAGCAGAAACTACTGATTAAGCGGTTCAACGTAACCACCCCATTCGGTCACGTTGTGATGGGATCCATCGATGATGGCCTGTTCACTCAGCCGGTTTATCAGCTAGAATCTACAATATTTTTCTCTCACAACAAATCAGCTTCAATCTGCTTATCAGTCGACTTTAATACCAGCCGAACATATCCAATATCGATCTCCAGCAAAGCTAGCTAGCCAGCCAGCAAGCCATGTCGTCACATTATTACAACGATGCAGCGACGACGATGATGGATCATCGATCGAACGATCGTGGCAGGACAGTAGTCCAGGCAGAGCTAGCAGCTAGCTAGGCCAGGCCACTACTGGAATATTAGTTGGTTGGTTAGTACTGGCATGGTGTGTGAACAGTGAGTAGCACTAATCACCCAGCGAAGCTAAGCTAGCTCAATCGAATAATGATGGAACCATCGGGAAAAAAAAATCTGTCTAGGTGACATTCAGTTGATTCGGCTCTCGCTGTTAACTGAATTTTTTTATGCATTTACACTATCATCTAGCTATATTTACACTCTTCTATTACTATATTTACACTAATTTCTTCAGTGTAATATATAGGACAGAGTAGTGTAATTTGAGGATAGACTAAGATCTTAGACAAATATAAGCCAAATTTTCAAAAAAAAAAATACAAATTTTTTCTATTGATTCCATATACCAGAGAAATATGTCAAATTATTCACAAATATCGTCAAATTGTTCACAAATATACAAATAGAAGAACGGAGAGAGAGCAAAGAAGAACAGACACCCGAGAGCACATCTCGTCTTCCAGCAGCAGAAAAGGGACAGAAAGCAGAGGACGGCGGCACACCGGGACAGCGGCGCCCGCACCGGGGACACTCACACTGGGGATGCCCGCCGGTGACGCTCCACCCGCATCCGCACCGGGGCAGCGACGGCGGCCTACCCGCCGGGGACGTCCGCGTCGGGGCGACGGCGGCAGCCTGGGGCGGCGGCAAAGGAGCGACAAAGGACCGCGCGCCCGCCCGAGTAGAGGAGCGGCCTTGGGGCGGTGGCAGAGGAGCGGCGTAGGAGCCCGAGCAGATGCCGACATGTGTAAGATCTAACAGCCCAGAATTCGGTTGATAGATGGACCAAAATCATTCGGTTGAGAGTTAGCAATTATGTATAAATATACGTCCACAGCCCATGTGATCTCCGCTCCGGCCAGTTAGTTAGTATAAAAAACAAGCAACACTGTTCTGGCTAATTTATTGTGAGAGAAAAATATTATTTTAACTTAAAAAATATATGCTGAAAAGCCTGGATTACAAGACAAGCAACGCCCATGTGTCGCTGCTGCTGCTGCTGCATCCGTCCCGCGTACGGCGTCCCTGGTCCGTCTCGACTGTCCGTCCGGTCCGATCCGGCGCAACAACGCATCTGGGTTCCGGCAGATCCTACTGCCCTCTCGCGGCGTCACGGCGTCAGGCACAAGAGCACCGACTAGGAGGAGGAGTAGGTTACTATTATTGGCGGCTGGTTGCATGGGCACGGGTCGCCAAAGTGTGATTTGAAGGCAAGCCTGCCATTAGTTGGCGTTTCAATTCCCCACCTAATGACACCACTACCACCCACGGCCACGGGCGAAGGGTGGTGCTCCAGGTAAAGACCGGACCCCAACCTACACCCGTCGCGAGTGCAAAC